GGGGGGGGCATGGTATTCTCTCAGGCTTTTGTGTTGAGGACAATGCATCACACCACGTGCGTGCTGCTTTTATGTGGGGCGTGCACGTACTGGGTGATGGCTTTATTGGTTCTTCTTTTGCGTGTTTTGGTGCCCCATCTGCGCAAAATGGCGCGCTACGGTGGCCGCCATGCGGTAGCAGCAGCAACTGTAGATGGTAATGAGAATAACGTTGGTGATGGGGTGCAAAAATGTGTGTCTGCTGGTCACAAGGCGATGGGAGATTCCACAACACACGGAAGTTGGTTTTGGAAGGCTATCAAAGTTGCTGTCGGCGCGCTTGAAAGTTCCATTTTGTGTCGCGTGCGATTAAGTCGGAAGCGTAGTTTTTGTGCCTTTTATGTGACGGGTATTGTCTCTTCTTTCCTGATATGGCAGCTGCATTCAAGGCCGTTACCCGTGATCACAATGAGGGTCTTGTCAAGTGATGCATTAAACTATTATGAAGCGCTGCCATTGGTGGCATTCTTTATCCATTGTGCCGTGCGCCTGTGGGAGTGTCAGTGCGTTCATTGCTTTCGAGGTGGGCCGAGTGATACTGTGACTTTGTTTGCTGCACTTGCAGGATGCTCCTTTTACGTGATTGCTGCCATTTCCAGTAGTCCCATTGTTTCTTGTGTCACTCAAACGCTGCTTTTTGTTGGTGATGTGCCCCACTTCCCGAGAAGTGTTGAGGCGAGCCGTTCATTTATTTTTTTTCTGACGGCTGCCGTTGTATCTTTTTTTTTTCATTTGTTCCTGCAGAGTCTGCAGATGTTCCATCATTGGATTTTGGCACGGATGCGGGATAAATCAACTCCTACGTCCAATTCATTTGACGCAGCAGCGTCGGGTAGTAAAAAACACTCCCATGATGCGCATTACGGTGTTGAGGCATGCGTTGAGAAATCAGGCTTCTTTTATCGTTTCCCCAACGCGTATCTGTTTAAATACGTGATGGAACCGCACTATACATGTGAGATTCTGATGTATGTCTTGAACGCTGTTAGCATGTGGGCATGCATCAGCCGTGGCGCACCATCGATAATGGCAGTGCGGCAGTCAAAAGGAGTTCAAAGTACGCTGTTGTTGGCAATGATCTATGCGACGCCATTGGGTGTTTTGTTGTTTTCACTGTTTAACCTTGCCATTACGGCCTCCGAGCACCGTCTCTTTTGGAACCAGTTGAATGAGAAGCGAGAACGCAAGGAACAAATTCCTCCTTGGAACTTATTTTACCGCGTATGGTAGCGGCAAGGTTCGAAATGCTTTGTGTCTGTGTGTGTGTTTGCGTGGGAGGGTGGGTGGGATTGCATGAGTGGCTGTGAATTTGTTGTACCTCCCTTTTGTGTCTCTCTTTTTTTTTTTTTTTTTTGAATTTTTTTGTTTACTGCCTGCCGGTTTTCATCGCAGATGTATTTGGTGGGTGGTAAATTTGTTCCAGTTGGTGCATTATTTTTTTTTTTTTGGCATGGGCCTTCTGACGTGTGAGTGAAAAGTGAATTTCTTTTTTCTCTTTGCTGTTCTCGTGCTGTTTTTTTTTTTGTTGTTGTTTCCTTACTTTTAAATTTGTGCTGCACGCAGGCTTCCACTCGTCTGTGTGGTGGGGGTTTGAGAGGGTGGGTAGACCTCACGCTGTGTTCCTGATGCGTCATGCCGTCTGTGAACTCGGGGTACACCTTTGAGGACTTCCTCAAGCGCCTGGAGCGCAGTCCCAAGACGCACATGTCACCGCTTTATCACGAGCATCGAGAGCTCTTTTTGCGTCGCCCGGATATGTTTTCACGTGCCGTCCGTTCCGTCACTTGGGAAAAGGGGTGTGCATTGATCGATGCGGCTTACCACTCGCAGCCGATTGCTCTTGTCACATACCGCGCTCTTCTCGCACGTATGATACTACATAACCAGTACGTGAGGCGTAACGGTTCGAGAAACTTGGTTTCATGGAAGGCAGCCCTGCGAACATATTCCGAGGCCATTCTCGCGCATGGCAATGCTGTTCCGACGCGGATGACGATATCCGCATTGCGTCTTTTGGCACCACAACGTCAGTGGGTGGCCGCCATCTCACTCCTTAAGCTCAGTCAAGCAAATGGGAAGCTGACAATCCACATGCCCATAGATGCGGCTGGTTGCTGTGCAACTCCCTCGTTGTGGAAGACGGCCATGGCACTGCTTGGTCATGTACACACACAGTCACCCAACTTGCTCCCTGAGTGCATTCAAAGTCTTCGACCCATTGGGACGGATGAATCGACGGTCTCTACTGCTGCAAATGCATTATTAATTGACAAGAATGGTCCAACACCCGAGCAGAAACATGTTCTTTCTATTTTAAATGACGTGGTGGCGTCAGCACCATGGGAGACGGCCTTGTCAAACGAAATGTGTACGTCGTATCTCACACATTTAGTGGCAAGTACAACCTACACAACGCAAGAAAAAACGGAGGCTCTTATATCGGCAACACGGCATTTTTCATGGGAGGCATTTATGAGGCTGGTGACGGCTCAAGACGCATCCATTTTGAAAATTTCAGGCAACAGCACACCACAATTACCGACGACGACAGAAATGGAGAAAAAAACACAAAGGGAGCTGGAGATATCACCTCTGAACTCACCTTTTTTTAGTGAAAGTTTGCAACTGCTCGAAAACGCGCCCGAGACGGCGGTACCTCTTATTGCGACTATAATAGGCAAGCTTCCCTCGGCCAAGCTTGCGGCAACTTTTTTGAGTGAGGCAGCTTCCATGTACCGTGGTACTATTGCCACCACTGCGTTACGTCATTCACTCGTTGCGAGTGCTTTATTGCGGAAATGTTCAGAGGAATCTGAGTGGCGTCTTGCGTCTTCTGTGTTACTTTCCATGTCGCCAAGCCCATTGCCTTGTGACGTGGCCACTGCACTTGTATTGCAGATGCGGGAAGCAAAGCAGGTCTCACTGGTTGTAGACATTCTTCAAAAGTCCTTTGTGCCGGCCAAGACCACGTTAACACGGGAGGCCATGGAAGCGGTACTTGTGTGTGTGTTGGCACACAATCGTGCTGTGTCTATGCCAGCCTCTCAGTTTACGCCAGAGACGCTGAAGAGGAGAAGGATAGCCACGGTCCATTGGCTCTCCGCACTGAGTTGGGCGACCGATTTAGTACAGGACGAGGTGGAGGGTCGTATTTTGCGAACGGAATCTGCCGTTTCGGTGGGTTCTGTAGGCCATTCTTTTCCCAAATTTGTTCCGCTTCAGAAGCCTTTGTCGTCTCGTATGCTCAGCCTGCTTATTCATATATGTGTGAGGGCTGGTAGCCCACAAGGAGCTTTACATGCGATGGGCTACGCTCGCGCCGTCGACAAGACCGAGCTGGTTCTTTCTGAAGCGATTCAGGCCCTTCTTTACTGTATGATATACAACCGTCCATACGAGGCCGAAGCTATTGTGAGGGAGGCTGAGAAGAAACACGGGAAGGAAAAGGCGCAGTTTCTTGAACGGTTATTGCTGGCCATTCAAGAGACGAAGGAACACGAATTGGGCACCACAGGGAATTAATTTTGATTTTTTCTTACGCCTAAGCCAATAAAAGAGGAGAAATTAAGACCGGAATCTTCCTTTGGGTGGTGGTGGGATGGCTGCGTGATTGTGTTTGTGTGTGTGCGCATTTTCGTACGTTTTTGAATACATTTACGTTGACTTTTCGGGGGAGCTTTTTTCTTTTGTTTCAAGAGAAGAGAAGCCACCGCATTATTTAATAAATATTTTTGGCCGCTTTTTTCTAACTGTTCTTCTTCTTTTTTTTTTTTTTTGACTACTTTTGTTTATGTGTGTGTGTGTGTGTGTGCATGCTGCACGTGGCTTTCATTTCCCTACCAAATCTTCTTGCGCTTGAGAGGGAGAGAGAGAGAGAGAAGGACAGGGGGAATTCTTCTTGGAAATTTTTTTTTTGTGTGTAGCAGCAAATATCGTTAGTGAGTTTCCCTCTAGCGCTATTTGGCAGGAGTAAAAGAAATATCAAGGCATTACATCCGTACCTTCATTGCATACATACGTGCTCCTGTATAGCCAGAAAAGGAGTGTGAGGAGAGAGGGAAGGTGAGACGTGAATACAGAAAGCCACGACTGGAAATAACAATGAGCACGGAGCCTGTCTTGCAGCCGCAGACCTCCATCAGTAACGAGGAGAAGTGGGATCATTGCATGGAGAACTTTATTCGTAAAACCACCTTGGGCTTTGCCTGTGGCGTGTTACCGGCACTTCTGATTTCGCGCTCTCTTGTGGCACGTGCTTCCATCGTTTTGTTCTGCGCTGGCGTTGGCTCAGGCATTGCGTACGGCGAGGCGCGTTATCTCTTCGACCACAATGTTTTGTTTGACCGCCGCCACTTAGTCCAGATAGAGCTCTTTACCCCAAAGAGGTAGGAGTTTGACGCAAGAGGAGCCATACTAACCTCAATGACGTTGTGGCCAGGCGTATGAGGCGAGGAGGAACTCCCTCGCTCATAGAAACGATCCGGAGAACCGGTATAAAATATACTCAAATACATATGTCTATACGCACCTACGCAGAAATGCATCCGCATGCACAAGAGGAAGCGCAAAAGAAAATGTATGAAGGGGCATTGGGAGGAAACGACGAAGGGAGCTCTTTGTTGGTGCCTCTTTTTTTTTTTTTTTTTGCTTGTGCGAGGGATGCTGCACTTGCGTGTGAATTGTGTGAGGGTTGTTACTAGCCGACTGTGAATTAGGGGTTGCAAAGGAGATGGCTGCCGCGTGGAGGAGGATAAATGGGGTTTACGAGTTTGTCTCCTTGACGCACCATTTTGGTACCTGTCTCTCTCCGTTTGTGTGTGTGTTCATTCGCTGCCGCTGCTGCGAAAATTGTGAGGCATTGGGAGAGAAACTCGAAAAAGAATGATTTAAGCACAAGTGTCTGTTTTGAATATCTCACCCTTTTGCGCATCTGTTGTGTACACTAAGTACGGGAAGGCTTTTTTCTTTCTGCCTTTTATTTTTATTCTTATTACTTTTATTTTGGTGGGGTGGTGGTGATGTACATTGACAGAATGATTTTCCCTGAAAAATTGAGCAGTGATCCTATCGTCATTGATGATCATTGCGCTATCTTGTTGGAGCCGCAGCCGAGAGGTTGTTTTCTTTTAGTTGCCTGTAATAAGTCTTCCCGACGCGTAAAAATATGCGTGGACTTGACGCTGTCCACCCGGTACTGTGTTTTCCTACCAGTGGTGGGAACCGTCAACGTGGGACCGATGATAGTTGAAGCCACCATGGCACCGTATCGTGTGCGCAACATTGGGCTGATGGGACCTGAGAAGGGAACAAGGCCGCTGCAGCATGCACATCTATTTGCCCAGTTGCATTACGTTGTGCACGTTTTTGTTGAGGACGAAAAGGGGGTTATGGTGCCCGCATATAAGTGGAGAAAAGGCACGAGAGAGAAATCAACAGAACGCATGCCACCCACGTTTTTACCCACAACCTCGACGGATTTGTGGTCTTTTTTTTTACCTCATCTTCGGGTGAAGGACTTCATTGTGAGCAAACGAAATGTGACAGCAGTTCCACAAGGTGAAGGAGGAAGTCAAGGGGAGAACGTGCTTGTTCAGGTTGACGAGATCGCCGGTGGCGCGGCATACCTTCTCAGTGCTGTAAACAGGGGACACACACCGCAGTTTCTCCGATACAGGTGTCTATTTGGAGGAGCGACCTCGCCTTTTGTTTGTTTTGTGCCAATGGACGGAATTAAATGCGAGAACACAACGGAGATTGAGGGATATGTGCCCGTTGGAGGCGATGTTGCACTCGGATGGGTGGTAAGGACTGGTGCTGACATGCCACTCAGCACCGAATTATTTCCTCCGCATGCCTTTACTGCCACCGTATGCAGTTCTGGTGTAGCAGAAAAAATGATTCCTCAACGTGAGAAAGATGCTACAACGATCAAGCATACATTCAAAGAGCGAGCTGCCGGGTCTGTTGCGAGCGGCCGAACCTTTCTGCACTCCCAGCGGGGATCCGGATCTAGGACAGATAAGAGTAGCCTCTCACAGAATCTCTCACCGCCGTGTTTGGAGTGTTTCACTGTTGATGGCTTATCCCTGCGTGGTTTCTCGGAGCCTCCGGCAAACGCATGCGCGTTAACCTTCACGAGGAGCATCTCAGCCCCAGCAGCAAGAATGGTGAGGGCCAAATTCGCGTCTCCGGATAAACATGTTGACAAGAATGTTTTGACAATGCGGCAGACTCTACTGTCAGTCGAATTGCCTGGTGGTGCGGCGCAGACGGAGGAGAGGAGTGAGGCGAGTGAGTCACTCGCGGTTCAAGGGCTGGAGGAGCTGGGTGAGGAGCGGATGATTTCTTTTGAGGAGAGCAGTGGAGTGGGGTATGAGCCAAATTCATTTACCGAGCATGGGAACGAAATGTGCGGTTTTGAGGAGCAGCATGTGCGTGATTTGCATGGTGGAACACCGGAGATTCGCTTTGAGGATGAAACACAGTTTGAGGCAGAGGTTGGACACCGTACGGTGTTATTGGAGGCTACGCAATCCGTTTTGCCCCTGTTTGTTGAACTGGGGGAGGACGATATGCCTGTCTGCGAGGAAATGGTGAATGAAGATAGGGGGGAAGAAGAGGAAGAGGAAGAAAAGGCATCCACTGCCACTGCATCCGTGAAGCACAGATGGCAAAAGATTGATGGTGAGGAAGCAATACAGAGGATTTCTATCGAAACGGCGGAGACGATTGAGTGGAAGGTTTTTCTGCAGCAGTGGCGGAAACCGCTCTGCCTTATCTGCAAGCAGCCCATCCCCCCCGGTGCGCTTGTCGTACAGGAGCCGTCAAGTGGCAACACGGTTCACTTCTTGTGCTACACAGAGGTGAGGCAGCAGCTGCAACAGCAGGGGCAAATGCAGGAATATTCTAACGTTCAAATTTATTGCTTGCCACAATTATCGCGGGGAAGGAGTCATTCAGTGGAAGGTTTACTCTGATGGGCAGTCGGAACGAAACACGCGTCTGAATGCCAACGGAGGAAGAAGAGGAGGAGCAAAAAAAAAAAAAGCTTTTTTTTTTTTTGTATTCTCTTTTTTTTTTTGCTCTTTTTATTCCCGTGTGGTGATTGCGGTTTATCGTTTTAGTGGGAATTTTTTTTTTTTTTTTTTAGCTTTCGACACACTTACACGTAAATAAATACATAGACAGAAGTACAGGGTAAACTCCCTCGACGGCCAGCAATGATGTCAATTCCTCATGGTATGCTGATCTACAACAATGATATCACAGCCGATAGCTTAGTAGACACCAAAGGCACTCGCAAGATAACCGAGGAAATCTCAAGCAAGATGCCAAATTCTTCACTGTTTAAACTGGATAAGGAGGATCACACATTAGCTAATCTTCTCCGCATGAAACTGCATGAGGATGCACTGGTGCATATTGCGGGCTATCGTGTTCCCCACCCGACGCAGCACCGCGTAGAACTTCGTGTGCAAACTTCATCTGATGGATCAGGTCGCCCCATTCCTTCCCCGAAGGATGCTTTATTGAAGGCGATTGATGCATGCATGCAAGATCTTCAAAGCTTTGAAGAGCAACTCCGCTGGGAGGCACAGTCAAAGGGCATGAGTACGGAATAAAAAATTGGCGTTTTTTTTAATTTGTGAAAATTTGTCTGCATTGTGCCTTTTGTTCTCGTTTTTTTTTTCTTTTTTTTTTTTTTTTTGTGTGTGTGTGTTTCTGGATGTGACTGTTTTTTTTATTCTTGTGAATTCTACTGATGTGTTTTCTTCTTCTTTTTCCACTCTTTTTTTTTTTTCCTTGGCTGGCCGTCTCTGGGCCTCAATAGTTGTGCAAGAGACGGCGAACGCTGGTTTTTTTTTTTCTTTTTTTTTTTTTTGGGGGTTTTGGGTTTTTTTTTTTTTTTTCCATTTCACCCTTTTAGGAGGTACCATCGTTTGGGCCTCTCTGCGTTGAGCTAAAAATGAGCGTTGACGACGAAAAAGAATTACCCGCCGCGACGTCAACGAGAACAATGGCAACGCCTCGTGCGTCCCCCCAAAATGCACCGAGACGATTGCGTACGGATCGTTTAGGAACTGAGCATACGGCTGTACTGATGACAAATCCAATGAGTATTGCCATGATGACAGTGTGGGCCCTTTCATGCGAGGGAGCGCTGCTGCTCAATATATTGGCCGACGTGTTTCAGAGCCGGGCCCCTGAGTTCCCACTGGTGCCCACCATTACTACGAGCGTTGGGCTGAATGTACTATGTGCCTTCCTCACTCTTTTACTTGGACGACTGTCTTTTCGGGGCTTTTATTTTTACCAACCTTTTGCTGGGGGTCAATCGTTTGTGGTGATGCAGGGCTTTGGGTACGGTATATTGGTTGTTGCAAGTGTTCTTCTTTTTTTCTATGTGGAGCAGGTTGGGACTACTTTAGCCGTTTTCCGTTATGGAACGTTAACTGTCTTGGGTTGTTTTAGCGCATTGGCGGACATCATATTGATGACTTCCCTGTTGTTCTTCGTTCCTACGCAGTATCGGGGAGGGCGTGGTGCAAAAACAAGTCATTTAACCACCGATGATGCAGCGGTGTGGTGGCATGATCTTTCCGCATCCCCAAATTGCGAGATTGGTATTGTTGTGTCATTTTGTCTAGCCATACTTATGTGTTCCTCCTTTGCGGAATATTACCCACGTATTCGTCGTATGAGTTCTGTCGTTGGTGCTGTGCTTCTCTCCCTCGGCCTTTTCATTACGCATGTGGTTGTCGGTCATACATACACCCCCGGATACCGTCTTTTTATGCCTAATGCAGGTACTTTTCGAATGAGTTTGATGCAGGCGTTTGGTTGGTTTCTCGCGTTTGCAACTTTACATTTAGAAATGATCCTCTACGAGGCAGGCCCTAGTGCGTATTCATCGTGGCATATATTGTGTGGATTAGGCTCTGTAATTAGCTTGAGTACACTGCTTTTGTTTATAAGATTACATCGCTTTCCAGCCTCTACGCAAAGTGAGATTTCTTTGGTTGGCGAATACGGTCCCATGGTGTTAACTTTAACGAGTTCCATTCATGCCGCTGTGGTGTGGGGATTGGCACTTGTTCTTTCATCCAACGTTTACGATCAGGAACCGCAACTACGCCAAGGGCTTGTTATGTGCCAGACCCTCTCGTCTCTACTTACTTTTGCACTTCCACCTTGTACCCATCTGTTGGGACGCATTGCATTCGGCAGGGAATATGAAGTATGGATGCCCTTCAAAGGACCTTTAGAGTTTGTGGTGCTGCAAAGTGCTGGTTGGACGTGTTTTGGGGGGGCCATTTTTTTTGCGACGCTGCAGATTACCGAAAGTCTTCATTTTCGATTTGTTATCATTGAATCCTCCCTTACTGCGCTTTCACAAGGATTTATTCATGCCTCTTTGCATTTATTTGATGAGGGGCGTAAGGGCGGCACGACGAGGAATAATGTCTTTACGCCGAACAGATCGGACGAAAGCGATGAAGTTGCCGACGCCAATAGCATTGAATATGAGGAAGCCGCATTGTGTGAAATGAATAGATCAATTGTTCCAACGGTGTTAAATGGGGAAATGTTGACTTCCATTTTGCTTTGTTCGATCGGTCTCATTATGCGTGTCATAGCAGATGTAGCCGTGGGTAGTGGAAGCGAAATTGATGAAGTGATGCATATTCCGACGCATTCCCTTCTCAAAGTTTCTACCATTCTATCTATTCTTGTTGTGCCCCTTGCACATGTTTCTATGCGAAAACGTATTTCTGTGTGGTGTCCATTTGTGGGTTGCGGCGGTTATGTGGCTATGCAATCGATTGGCTGGTCCATTTATGCTGTTAATTTGTTTATTGTCGTCGCCAATAGTCTTCACGAAAGGCGTCAAGGTTTTCTGTCGCCTATTGTGGATGAGGAACATCTCTTTTTGGAATACACCATGGAGGGACTGCTTATGACGTTACCGCTTGTATGCATTATTATTGGGGCATTTTTTGAGACTCAAGAGCAAACCAGGAAGAAAACTGTTCAAGAACGCAAAAAACAGGAGGTGCTTGAACTTTTTCGCGTCCTACAACAAGCGATTCCTGACGACGACGAGTTACAACATGCAGAGGCGTTACTGAGAGCCATTGCGGGTCCACGATGGATGGAACCGCCTGCAACTGATGGTGCGCGACTCATTCGGGAGGCTGAGGAGACGGCACATGCAAGACAGGAGGCCGCAACTAATATTGTGACCATTTTGAGCGTTGCAAGCGCCTTGGCATTTATTTCGGCCGCCTTTTTAGCGGAACGTCAGCCTGTTTTTACACTTGTTTTTGGTGCTGCCGGTATAACGGTGACGACGATTTCCTGTTTTTCGGTGCATTATGTTTATGGCACTTTTTTGCACCGTGCCTCAGGTCGATATTCTTTTTTTATGCCGTTTTCAGGCGGCCCAACATTTGTGACCCTTCAGGCAGTTGGATGGGGATTCTACACTATATCCTCCTTGCTGATCGCCCTGAGTTGTGCGGAGGGTCGTGGCTCCGCGATTGTTTTTGTAACTACCGGCGTCTGCAGTGTCAGTGCGCAGTACTGCATTCTGAATTCTGTGCCCCGTTTTGATCCAACACCACGTCCTATGTCCGTATTGGAACTTAACGCGGAAGGTATTTTTGCCGTACTGGTGTTGATCGGCTCCTTTGCCTTCGCAATGGTGCATGACGTGTATGCCCAAGGCCGTGTCTCGGGCATTGCATCATCGCTTTTTCCTATTGCAGTTTTGGCGGTATCCACATGCTTCGCGGTTCCGTTGGGTCTGGTGTCGCTCAAACGGAATGCTTGCGATTTTACCACCTCGCCTTTTTCCATCTTTGATAATCCTATCAATTCCGGTGAGGGTGATAATGAAATTGAGAGCATGCAGTCTGGGGTAGAATTGTCAACCACCTCATTAACTGCCGGTTCTACTAGTTCATCGATACCCGATTCTTCGCCTCCGCCACATACAGATACTACGCATCTTCGACAAACAAGCGAGGTATCTGCTGAAAGCGGTGGCGGCCATTTTCCGGGGCATTCATTTTCACCCGTAGGGGATATATCTTCAGTTTCTTCACGTCATCCTAGGAATAGTTTTCGTGATTCAGTATACATGACATGCTTTATGGCAGCTGCCGCTTCTGCGATTTTGGCTTCGACTCTTATTCCATTTGCCCTTGTATACATTGTTTATTGTTACGCGTACAGTGGTATGGCAGCACTTAGTGCAGCTTCTGCAACTCTTCGTATTTTATTGTTTGGATTTGGTGTGGCCGTCATTGTGCCAGTTTTTGCACCAGGAAGGTCTCGAGGACAGCGTAAAAGTCTGTTTCTTTGTTTTTATGAGGTGTCCTGCTGTTATGCCCTATATTCAATTCCAACAGCTGTGGTAGTGTGTTCATTGGGACTTCCATTTGTGGTAACGACATCAGGCGCGTATGCTTTTTCCGTGAGCATGGTGGTCATGTCGTGCTTCTCAACAATTCCACATATCCACCTTATTTCAATGCTGGTTAATGTCTCTTTACTTGGATATTTTTGGCATCATCATTTTCACGCCTTCTTGTTGAGAGGCGAGGGAGCTTTTACGCCGTGGAAGTTTGTTGTTGATACCGTTTTGACTGCCTATTGGCCTTTATATTTCCACCGTTTTCTGGGGCAGCCACGTGTTACGGGACGGTTGAATAGCCCCAGGTTTAAGCGATTATTACGTCGCTGGATGTTATGTGCCGTTGCAGAGCACTTTAGCCTTTCTGTCATTGTAGACGGGAAGGAGTTGAACCGAGGGGAGAAGAATCATGCCCAGGAAGACTACGTCAATTTGAACAACCCCAAAAATAAGTATTTTTTTTCGTTTCATCCACATGGAATATTTCCTGGGACGGCGTTGTGGGTGCCAAATACGCCTCAATGGGAAGAGATTGTGGGAAGCAACACGGAGAACTTTCTCTCTGTGCATTGTGCCGATGTGATTTTTGCCGTTCCGATGCTGCGCGACTTTGTATTGGCCCTTGGGTGCTTGACAGTAGCACGCAGAGGAATTGAGAATAGCCTTTTGCAAGGCAACAGTGTACTGGTGGTGACAGGTGGACAAGCAGAAATGCTCTGCAGCAAATTTAGCGATACGGAAATGCACTTTGTAACGCATCACAGTGGATTTTTACGTGTAGCAATGACGCATCGAGTGCCATTGGTACCGATTCTTTCCTTTTCGGAAAATAATCTTTTGAGCAACGTATGTTTTCCCCGTATGCAGCGCTACACGATGTCAAAGGTGGGATTTCCCTTCCCAACCGTGCCGTATGGAAAATTTTATTTACCACTACCCAACAAGCTGCCCATCACCATCGTGGTGGGCCGACCAATTTTGCCCGAGCCTGGCATGGATTGCCCAGAGAACCCGGAACATGTCCAGCGCTATCAGCAACGTTACTTTAAATCCCTCGAGGTGCTGTTTTTCAAGTACCGCGCAAAGGCCGGATACCCAAACATGACCCTCGTTCTGCATCACCGCAACGAAATTCACCGTGTCTCGGCGGCGGCGGAAGAAACGGAAGAACCTACAGGAGGGCAAGAAAAAGAGAAAAAACCAAAAGACTTGGAGTAAATAATTTTGCTGCAATCTGAAAAGCAATCCAAAAGAATTGTGAAATGTTACAAACAGACGGAATAAGAGGAAGCAAATATATATATAAGTACAAAAAAAAAAAAAAAATAATAATAATAATAATAATAATAATAATAACAAAGAACGCGAACTTTTTTCTTCATAAGAAAATTTGTGTTTTTTTGTTGAATATTAGCCTGCACCTGTGCTACAATTTTGTTTTCTGCTTTTTTGTTTTCTTTGTTCAGAATCATTTTGGAAACGTTTGAGAATGGATGGGTGTAAGGGCAATTGTAGCGCAACTTGTTGAACTCCCTGGTTTATTCACCTATTACATGATTTTTGATCTGTTTGTTAGGAGGTTGTGAGGAGAATGATCGCGGGGGAGCTGGCCAACCCTAATGAATGCATATATGTATATATCCCTGCCAAAACGAACACACACTTTTTTATGACACTTTTTCCGTCTTATGAATTTTGGGCAGGCCACGACTTTAAGGACATCAGGGGAAAATTGACGTGTAGAGGACTTTAGTTATTTTATTTTATTTCATGTTTTTAATTTTTTTCCATCCCGCCCAGCCCTCTTTTGGTTCCCTTCTCGCGGTGGAGTCTTGTGGCCGGGGAAAACCAAAATCTGCCACCTCGTAAGTAATAAATATGTATGTTTGTATATCCCATCCGAATAGAGTGTTTTGTGTGGTGAAATTGTGCTGGGACGGAGATCATTATTATACCTTGAATACACATGAGCAACGGTTACGCTCTATGTGTTACCGCACGTTCCTTATCTTACATCTGAGTTATTATAACAGCGTCTTTCTTTTTTTTTTTTTTTTTTTTTTAATTGTTTTTTTGCATGATCTTATTTTTCTTTGCCTGTGATAAATTCCTGTCCGTGATTTTTTGGTGTGTGCGCACGAATTCCCGCCACAGCTTCCCAGGAAAGGCTGCGTTCATTCAATTGTGACTTCTCTGCTCCCGGGAAGGTTGGGGGGAGAATCGTACCAAATGAGCCGTTTTTTTTTTTTGTGTGTGTGTTGTTGGGGGAGGGATTTTTAGAAATGTTGTATGATTCCTATGAAAACGCGCACTGCACGGATCTTCAATGAATATCCTGCTGCATTTTAGAGGAGCCATGATGCTTGCGTTTCTTATGATTTTTTTTTTTTTTTTTTTAAGGTTGTGAGGAGAATGATCGCGGGGGAGCTGGCCAACCCTAATGAATGCATATATGTATGTATCCCTGCCAAAACGAACACGCACTTTTTTATGACGCTTTTTCCGTCTTGCGAATTTTGGGCAGGCCACGACTTTAAGGCCATCAGGGTAAAATTGACGTGTAGAGGACTTTAGTTATTTTATTTCATGTTTACAGACACAGCGAGGTTGGTTTAAGGAAATGGCATTGGCTTGTTTTACTCGGCCTCCCAGTCCAGCGATATTGGTGTCCCTATTTCAGAATTGGTACGCCAGCATGGCGCTATCCAGGTGCAGCTCACCGTTGTGGATGAAAACAGCCCGTCGGATGCAACGTTAACAGTGGCCACCCCGATGGCAGGCTTGCGCTTGATTTTGGGGAACATCGCCAATCACAGGGAGGATTCGAGCCTTACAGGACATATTGCGAATCGCCGGGCGCCTCAAGTATTAAATTTTGAGACTCAATCGCTCCTGCCCATTGTGTGGGAGCGGCCCGGGAGTTGAGGGTCCAGCAGGGGCTCGTAATTCCTGAAAGGGATCGCTTGAGCACGGACCACGCCCACACCGTCGCGGAAGTGCGGAATGGAAGCGCCCGGCTTAAGTCGCAGGTGTAAGAGGCGCATAATAGCAGCCTATCGGCGTGCGAATGTCGCATTGCGGTCGTCGACGGCCTTCTTGCAGAACGGGAATACGTGCTCGCCGGACGCGAACGGCAAGTGGAGGCTAACCGCGCCCAACTACAGGAACGAGAGGCACGCGTTAGCGCAAGAGGAGCGCGGCGAACCGTTACGCACGGCCCAACAAGTCCGGCGCGAGAGAGACGGCAGGTTATTCTCCAGACGTCTCAGGGTGATTTTGGGTGGTCACATTTCCGTCTTTCCACGCTTTTACCTTCCCGCACTTTCTCTTGGACGCCCATTCTGGCACAGAAGAAGAGGAACGGTGTTTTCCCGCTTTCGACGCCACCACTTGGGCCACGCGTGTTTGGAATGAGAGCGTTTCCGGAGTCGTTGTCGACCTTCGGGGCGCATACGATTGTTGGCAACAGGCGGAAGGCCACGCTCAATTTGCCTTTGACAATTTGGTCGAGTGGATCGGCGTGCTGGGAGCGGAGCGGGATCCCACCGATCAGTTCATGGATTCAGGCAGGTCCCTACTGAATACATTCCGGAGGCAGCTCACGATCGCAACCGAACATAGCATCCGGCTTTCCAAACCGCGCGCCCGTCTTTACACTGCCGCACATGAAGCTGACGCCTTTGCGGGGGCAGCCCAGCTTCTCGCGGAACGGCGAGGGACGCAACGATTGTCGTGATGCCGGTTGTATCGCATTTGTGGGCACGAAGCGTCTAAATGCAATGCCCGAGGCGCACCCAGAAGAATTTACTCGCAGCGCGGATGGCCGTGAAAAAGCGGCGGAGGGGCCGCCCGCTGCCTATGAAGGCGGACGACAGCAGCCTCATCCGTTCCACCGCCTCCCACCATCCGCACCGCACCACCGACGCTTCATCCGGACTTTCGAATTGCCCGACGCAATCCTCGAGAAGGGCAATGGCGCTTATCCGCTACCGACGCTCGACTGTGGTACGACGAAACACCGACAGTTCCGCCGCGGGCCAGGCACAGGAGGAGGGCGAACGAGGCGGCTCGAGAGATGCGTGCCCCGCCAGCGTGGGAGCAGGCAATGTCTCTAGCGGGGCAATTCGCAACCTTTTGCCGCACGCACGAACAGCGGATCAGCGAGGAGAGCCGCGTGACCTTTTTGATGGCTGTGCTAGATGTGGCTCCACGGACCAGACCGCAGCACGCCAGGATGCCGCGGTCTATGTTGCAAATGAATCGGACCCCGCTGGACATGGTGATTCTGGGGTTGCAAAAAATCGCGGCGCGATCGGAAAAGAAGCAGGTCCGCTCATCGACAAAGAAAGGGGCCGAGGAATGTATCCGCAGCCTGGCCGATTGGAAGGAACGGGTTGTTTTTCGACTTGCGTGGATGACTGCGAGATGTTGGTTTGAGATTGCAGCCTTAACTCCCAACAATTTCACACTGGAGCCGGACGGTACCTTAATTTTGGATTGGTCCGTGGCGCGAAAGACGGCGAGGGCGGACCCATACCGCGCCTCGCGGTTCGTCAGGATACGAGGGCAGGACGCGTTTGACACAACGAAAATCTCACGAATATTACTAATGCTCAAGTCGAACGAGCTCTGGCTACTTGGTGTGCCACGGCGCATTCCACAAAACGCGGTGCGTTGAGGTGCGCTGCTCAAACCGTGGAGACTCACAATTTGGACCCACACGTGATCACGCAGTTGGCGAGGCACGTCGATCCGTTCGACGTTCCCTAGAATACTGTTCGATATTTGTGGAATTGCAACACAATGCTGACCCAGGTGTCGTCGCCGGTCGCATTGATGTGAAGGGGAGAGGCTGCGGAAGGGCGGTAACCCTGGCTGAGCGCAGCGAAGTGTTTTTTCCATAATTTTTATCATCATGCGGCCGCAATAACGAGACAAGCGACAAGGACGCGTCTGGCCACTCCACAAGATGAACACGCTATCCCGTTACAGCGAGTCAACGTGCCCGTATTGAATACCAAAGTGGATCATGAGTCGGTTGAACCCGGCCACCTTGGAGAGTCTCATGCAAGTTTGGGGACTCGTTGGGCGGTCCCCTTTCCCTCCGTCTTCCTCCGGTAAAGCGCGCGAAACTCCACGAGGCATCTCAACCGCTGACGCGCGATTGTTACGAAAAGCAGGAATTATCGAGGACGCTTCGTCCACAATAACAGGCGGATGGACAAGACCTTTTTCGGTTGTGGAGGAGAAAACCACCGGTTTACGACGACGATGGATTGCGTGGCCGCGCGACAAGAACAGAGACGACCCTTATGAGGCGAATTTTTCTCTTTCACACATTTTCCATTATTTGCCGCCTGTGATGGCCGAGGCCGCTCCCTGCCTGGACTTAAAGGCATCCTCTTTTCATGTATCTTTACCGCGGGGGACGCGGCATCTCTTTTGATGCCGCGTGGAGGACGGCACGCTGGAGGAGCTCACGCGGCTCCCAATGGGGTACAAGGCCGGCCCAGAAATTCTCCAGATTACCACTTCGGCAATTGCGGTGGTGACGACGGTGACTCGCTTCCTCTGGGCTGCACCTCCATTGGTGCGTATCGACGTTTGGATCGGTAATGTACGCATTGCAGGGTCTAAAAGCGATGCGACATTGTGGGGAGCCCCAGTGCTTCGTAATGCGGACGGCCGTCGCGCAACGATAGGGGAGGACCGCGAATCGGGCACCACTCAGTACATCTTCCTGGGGGTACAATTTGATGAAACTCACGCCGAGCGGTGCCCCTGAGTGGAAGGTTTGTCCTGTCTGTATGCGCCGTGCCGTCGCTCAATTCTTTAACCAACGCGGAAATGGAGGCCATGGCGTCACGCTTTTTAAACGCGGCTGCCATTTTGGGCACGCAATTATGCGACTACTACCTTTTCATCAAGGCAGCGCGACGACAATTATCCGCACTTAACCGGGGGATTGTGCAGGAGACATCCCCGGCGAACCTTCCGCTGTCAGCGGCTGGTTTGGGCGAGAGATGAGGGCACAGCATCGAGAATATAATCGCAAGCGAATCATCAAGCCCACGGAAAAGGCATCGGCCGCCATCATCACGGATGCATCGCTCCGTGGATGGGGAGACGTTTTAATTCCAGACTCCGTCGATGTTAAAATTGCCGGAGGAAAATGGGAGAGGAAGCCTTTTCTTATCATGCAGGCCGAGGCACGCGCGGTACGCTTAGCCTTACCGGCCTTTTCCGCCATCTTGCCACCCACCATTGGCGTTTGGGTGGGCAACACTTCGCTGCAAGGAGCGGCGAATAAAGGCAGCTCAAAATCACACGCATTGAAGTGGGATCTGCGACGGACATATGAGTTTTTGGACTCTCGCGGAATACAGGCATCCTTTGCATACGTACGGTCTGCAGAAAACCCTGCAGACGGCATATCACGCGGTCGTGTTTTTACACTTCAGGACTTGGCGAAGGGGTGGAACTTGCGAAGGGGAGCGGCGGGGTCTTGTGGCTGGAGGACCCCAAAGTCTGCCACTTCGTAAGTGATAAATAAATATATATTTATATGTAAATAATTGATGTTAAATTTCGAGGATGTGGTGAATCCATTCTTATTCCATTTATTCCTTTTTTATTCATGTCTTGTTTGGTTTCTGTTATTGATAAACTCATGATTCGGACAGTGACCCGGGTGAATATTCCTTTAAGCACTGCGTTGAGAGGCAGAAATGGTCTTTTTTCCCTTTTTTTTTGTTGTTGTTTTTAAGGCGATATTGCAATTATTGTATTTTTCTTGGTCATGTTTTTGGATCAAAGACTTGGTGGATTCAGTCCCATGCCACGCTTTTCGACTGTCTCGCTTATGGTGGTTTGGACGCTTGGATTTGTTGTGGCAATGACTACGGGCGCACTAGCGGATGCGTTTCAAGGAAATGCGCCAACTTTCCCTTTTATTCCAACAGCGTGCTTGGCAGTAGGACTTAATGGTTTTTGTGCTCTTTTCTCCATTCTGCTTGGATGCAGTTTGTGGGATTCATTTAGCATATATCAGCCATTTGCGGGTGGAGAACGGTATGTGTTACTCCAAGTATGTGGTTGGACACTCGTTGTCTCTTGTTCATCCTTCATGGTTTTGTATCTTGTTCAGTTGGAGCCACCCATGTATAGGTACGGAGCGCTCACGATATTGGAAGGATTTGCATCCATAGGGAATATTTTGTTGGCCGTGTCACTTCGCTACTTTAGCCCTTCTGAATCTCGGAATTTTGTTGAGGCAACTCCGCAGCATCCAAAAGGCCAGCCAGCCAGAGAGTCCGTTTTGAAGTGGATACTACATAGCCCAAACTCTGAAACGGCGTTGGTGATTATTTTTGTTTTGTTTCAGTTGTTTTTGTGTAATATTGGGGCTTTATTTCAAATTATTTCTTCACCGGCGATGGTTGTATTTACAATTTTTCATTTATTGAGTGGTATCCTTATTCATTTCTTGATTGAATGGAAGCAGATGGAGGGATTCAAAATGCTGCGAGGACCCGTGGAGACTTTGTACTATTTGCTTTCTTTGTTGGTGTACTTTGTGGCACTTGTGGGGGGAATTGCTCTGATTCGCACAGGGACAGAAGCTCCACAGGTGGCTTTTGGAGTGACAGCGTTGGCGGCTTTTACTGGGATCTTATCCATGTTGGCGCTAGTTAGGACCGCACGGATTAAAGAGTCTCATGTATCTTTTCACTTTGTCGTGGCGAGGTATGCTCGATTTCTTCTTTCAGCCATGGCGATCGCATTGGCATTTATTGCAATCGGCATTATGTATTACGTACAGGTCCAGAAACATTTCCTTATGGAGTCTAGGAATGGACGGGCATTAATGGATGGCTTGTTTTTTTGCCAAACTTTGTCAGTGTTTTTTTTACTTGCATTGATTCCAGTGACACATCTAATTGGGCGTGTGATTTACGGGGCGGCTTTCAGCTTTTTTCAGCCTTTTCGTGGTTCCGTGGGATTTGTGTTTCTTCAGGCGCTTGGTTGGGCATTTTTTACCGCCTGCATTCTCTGCATGACGCTTCATATGACAGCGACAAATTTTCGATGGATTCTTTGTGCTGCGGCTGCTGGCGTTATGGGACAAATTTGTATTCAATTTTCTATCAAAGCCTTTGCCTCGGGTTTTTGTACGGAGGCAAAGCAGGGATTAGGCTTGGGGAAAAGAAGTGAAACTAAATCTGAAAAGGAAAGTGTCATCAGCGGTGAACTGATTCTTAGCCTTCTTCTTCAACTGGCTTCTATCATTTTACGCCTGGTGGTAGACATTTCATTAACACAAGACGGAGAGTTTTCAGCCGTTCCGACGCACGTGCTGATGGGTTTTGCTTCACTGGCTTCGTTGGTGAGTGTACCTCTGGCTCATTATTCTGGGAAAAGCAAAGATATTCCCTTCTTTGCACCGTTTCGGGGTAGTGGTACGTATATTGCCTTGCAGGCCTTAGGATGGATTGTGTATGCATTATTTGTACTGAAGACTATTCTGGATTCTGTGCTTGCTCTGAACGGCGTGGCGTCCGTGTATTTTTCTTCCGACCGTCCCCCTTTTCTTTGGTTCACTTTGGAGGGATTTCTCCAGGTGGTTCCGCTTTTACTGATTGTGCTTTCCGTGGTCATGGAAGGTCGCTTTTCTGTTTCACGACGACGACGTCAAGGAATGGTTGTGGAGGCTCTTGAACGCGTGAAAAGGGCACTGGATGAACGCGTCGATGCACAAGAGGAGAGTGAAAGGGCGGCGTTGCAAATGTCCATGCGGATTTTGGCCGCGTCCACCCTTTCAGCTCACGGTATGCAGTACGACAGTTCTCGTTTTTGTCTCAGTGTCAAACCCAAACGAAAGTGTACAGCAATAAAAGAAGTTGCAGAAGAGATTATTGACGGAACGCAGGAGGAGGATGATATTTTACCCCTCTTTTCGACAGAGGCGGAGAACCGGCATGGTGCAGCAACCTTGTTGGTGGTGATGATGTGTTTTTCCTCGGTCTCGAGTTATATCATTGCCGCACTTTGGGCAAACACGGTACCGCTCGTTGGGTTTGTATTTGCTCTCTGTGGCCTTACCGTGTGTACCATTTCGTGTGTGAGTACGCACTGTGGATATGGAGCATTGCTACATGATCGCACCGGGGAATATACATTTTTTATGCCATTTAAAGGAGGTTCGGTGTTTGTGGCACTGCAAATTGCTGGTTGGGTGAGCTATGCATGCACATTTGTTCTGACTGTTATTTACACCTTGGAGGATAAGGGGGAGTACGTCCAACTTCTTACCGGGGCGTTTTTTTCAGTATTCAGTCAATTTTTTATTCTATTCTCTATACCTAAATTTGACTCGCGGCCCAAGCGTCTGACATACCTGGACGAGAATGGTGAGGGAGTTGTGGCGATGTTGGTATTCCTTGGTGCATTCTTGATTGGTCATCTCTATCTGCGTGCGCAGGAGTTTTTTCGGGTCCTGGATGATACTTCTGGTGTTGAAGAAGACATCACTGCCTCATCACGGCGATCGCACGTTCCTTTTTTTATTATGGCACTTGGCATTATGACTGCCGTGCCGTTTATTTTGATCACACTCAGTCGTTCCGCCAGACGTTTGGAGACGGTGGCGTATTCCCCGTGCCGTGATATTGACACTGAGGAAGATGTGTCATTGGGACGTCGCAAATCACTCTTTTTGAATATTACTCTGCGGTTATCAGAAATTATGATGTTGATGCTTGGAATGGTCACACCCATGGCATTTATTTTTGTAATGTACTATATTGTGAACGGCGTTCACAGTGGACTCTTGCACATCATACAGTATTGGATACCTTTTGCGCTCATGGCAGGCACACTTGCCTTGTTGATTTCTCTTGTGCCACATGTCATGGAAATTGGTATGTTGGAGCAATTGGTAGCATTTAGGCAGTGTGTTGTAACGTGCGGTTTGTATTCATTGCCAATTATTTCTTTCTGGATTGCGTTGGGACCGGCATTTTTTTTACCCTTTCATTCTGTTGGAGCGTACTACACGGGATTCATGTACTTCTCCTTGGGTGTGGCTGCTCCTTCTCGTCAGTTCCGCATGTTGCTAAGGTTTGGTGTGTATGCAATGCTCGGGTATGCTAGCTACCTGGAATATCTTCGTGTACTCGACAGCGGTACAGTAATTGCTGCACTATCCACGCTGAGGTACTATGCCGTCGATGCGGTGGTACTGCTGGTGTGGCTCTGGTACCTTCCCTCGTATGATGGAGAACCGGAGGAGAAGGGCGCGTACCATAGTGTGGGGTTTGTGAAATGGACACAGAAGTACATATTTAGAGACATTGACCGTTATTTTAACTACCGGATTATTCGGGAAGATGAATCCCTGAATCTGCGGGACAGCAGTCATCAATACATCTTCGCATTTCATCCTCATGGGGTCTATGCGGGCACTGCTCTGTGCGGCGTTTTCTCAGACGCGTGGAAGCAAAGTATTGGGTACAATTCAAAGACTCACGTCACCACACATGAAGCGAGTGTCTTGTTCAATATTCCAATTATACGAGACTTTAATTTGAGATTAGGGGCGCTCTCTGTAACGCGCTCTTCCATTGCATCCACCCTTGCTCGAGGAAACAGCCCGCTCATTGTCATTGGTGGGCAGGCGGAGTTGATTTTAACGAGGCGCAGTGACAAGGTCATGTCGCTCATTACGTACCACCACGGCTTTGTAAAACTGGCACTGAAGCACAAGGTGCCACTTGTGCCGCTGATAAGCTTTGCGGAACAGAATGTTCTGAGCATTGTTCGAGCACCAAGACTGCATCATGCCACACTGAAGGTGCTGGGATTTCCTTTACCAATTTTGCCGTACGGTCGTTGGCTGTTACCGCTGCCACATCGTACGCCGATAACGATTGTCGTGGGGTCCCCTCTGCCCATCCCTGCTGGTGCGAGCGCCGATAATCCAAAAGATGTTGCCGATCTCGCCGAGGTATATTTTGCATCACTTCGAACTCTCTTCTACAAACATCGTGCAGCAGCCGGTTACCCAGAAATGGAGCTTGATTTTTACACGAGGAATAGAAAAAAGGTGCTATCCAATTCCCTCTTTCTTGAGTGAGGAGAAATTACTTTACCTGTTTTAGGTGGAGATTGAGGGGGACGAGAGTAAAAATGCAGGACTCAAAAGGTCAAAAAATAAAAATAAAAAACCGGAGGTGTTTTTTTTTTTTTATTTGTATTTGTATGGGCGTATGAGAAATTGTAATTATTTGTGTGGGCGCGATGAACGGATGTGGATGGGGGCGATATCTTTGCTTTTTTGTGTGTTTTTTGCTTGTTTGTTTGTTTTCTTGTTTCCATACCCGAGATAAATACTTGTTTTCCTTTTTTACGGCTTTTAGCTTCTTCCCGCACCGCCTTTTTTCCCCCCTAGCACCAACCACGACGACTGCAAGGACGCAGAGAGACACACGAACAGGAAAATTAGGTATGATGCGGAGGTGTTTTTGCTACGCGGCTCGGTGCAAGTGGGGGCAACGAACATGGTCGCCGACGGCGTCAAGTGGCGGCGCCGCCCCGACAAATGGCGTCAGCGCACAGGAGGCGCTGCAGATAGTCTACCGCCCAATGCCACTCCCACAGACAGTGGAGTACGAAGAGGATTTTGGCCACAACTTGATGATTCACCGTGAGTTTGTTTCGAAGCGGCATCGTGACCAGCTGAGCTTTGAGTTGGGTGCGCTGGCGTACAGCGAGGTGGAACTGCGTCGCGGGCGACAACAACTTGCGGGTGTGATGAACCGTGAGCGGCGTGGGGTGGCTATTGGTGCCGCAGGGGCGCCCGGCGACCAGCTGCACATGCAGACAGACGTTGACCCCGACACAAGGGAGGTATTAACGGCACGTTACTTGTTTGATGAGAAGCGGATGCAATTCTGCGACCGATTTCAGAACTTTCTCCAAAGCCGTCTGGAGGGACATGCGGCGCAGAGTTCAGATGGTGGGAAGGGCGGAGAGGACAAGCAGTACCTTTTTTCTTTGATGGAGGCTTGCGCAGTGATTTACGGCTGCGAAACACATGCCGCACGTGAGGTGTACTTCCGCATGTTTCTTTCCCTCGACTTGGACTCCCTTGAGGCGGAGCAAGAGGCGCTGCGTCATCGCATTGCAGAAGGGAAACTCGTGCGGCAGGCGCTAGAGCAAAGTGAAGAAAAAGATGGGGAGGGCAATGCCGTTTTGCCGGTATCAAGAGGGAATTCTTCAACTACCCTTGACGATGACGCCGCCTTCATTGCCTCCATTCCGGAGCTTTCGCTTTTTGAGGATACACCGGGGGTGGACGACGACGGATCCGTCAAGAACGAAACGCACCCACCCGCTCTAGCAGACAAGGAATTTTTGCCGGCTGGTGTTGTGGATGATTCTGGAAGCCTCCGCAACTCCTCACACTCCGCCATTGAGTTACCCGAGGAATTTGAGGAGTATGCCCCGCTCTACAAGGCATACCTTGCCCACGCAAAAGGAGAGAGTGGCATCGCCTCTTACGATGTGTCGACGCTGGGATCAACAGGCATCACGGCGGAACGACGCCGTTGGCGGAATTTGATGGATAAGATTGTGCGGGAGGAGTACCACACAATGACAGAAACGGAGCAGATGGATGCACTAATTCTCAACGAGCAGCTTCACACTGTGAAATTCTTTGACCTTAAAGTGGGTGACACTGTGCGGGAGATTCTGCAACTTTTGCAGCGCGAGACAGGATGCGGCTCGTCGGCGCATCGTGACGAACCTCTCGGTATCTCTCCGCATCACCCAGAGCGGCGCAGTTGATAACGTTTATGTGTTTGTCGTATGCATGTCCGTATTTGTGAGCTTGCGCTGTATAAATGTTGTTTTCAATATCGGTGTCTGCCTCTTATTTCTCTATTTCATTGTATCAAATTCTCTACGAGCATCAATTTCCTTGTTTTCTTCTACTCTTTTTTTTTTTGGGGGGGGGGTATTTAGAAGCCAGTGGTACGCGCAAGTAGAAATGCCACAGTCCAAATCAGCAAATGCAAGCAGATTCTGGGAACTCGACTCAGCATATGAAGTGAGATGCCACCGCACCCAGAGCCCTGTGAAGGCACTTGAATCGACTCGTTTTTTCAATGAACTAATGAGTGTAAACGGTGCAACAGACACGGGCGAACGACCGGGAAGTGCACAAGAGTCAAGTTACGAGGATCATCAATCATCCCTCCCTCGACTCCCCATTCCTCCCCTGAAGCACACATGCGAGTTGTACCTCAAGTCTATTCAGGCGATCGCGACTTCGGAGGAGTACTTTCACGCGAGTAAGTTGGTGGAGGAGTTCTTGAAACCCGGTGGCACCGGGGAGCTCCTGCAAAGTCTCTTGGAGGCATGGGAGCAAAAATGTGATCAGCCGAGCTGGCTGGAGGAATTTTGGGATGATTCGTATCTCTGTACACGTGAGCCTATACCAGTCAATGTGAACTACTTCTTTCAGCTTCAGCCGCATCCTCGACAATCGGACAGGTCTACCCGAGTCTCGCAGGTGGGGCGCGCTGCAAGTCTTCTACACGCAGCGACGGAGTATTACCTTTCCATTTTTCATGGCACGGTAGAAAAAGAGTTTGAACGGTATGCACCTGTGTGCATGAGTCAGTACCGCTTTGTATTCACGACTTCACGTATTCCTGGTTTGCGCCGCGACCGCAAAGTGTGCTACTCTACACGACCTTTGACAAGTGATGAGAAAAAATCCAATTTTTCCGAGTATGTCGCTGCCGATCCCACGCACTGTGTTGTCATTATCCGCAATCGATACTTCAAAGTGGAGGTGATAAAAGATGGAAGGCAGTACTCTGTAGAGGAGCTTGTGCTGGCACTTAAACAGATTGAGAATTTTGCGACATCGCGAAAAGATCCTGGAGCTCCCGTTGGTCTCTTTACGACCCTGGACCGCACAGATTGGTTTCATACTCGAGAGCGCCTGAAAGCATTGGGCAACGGTGAGGTGTTGCAGGCAATTCAGTCTGCGATCATCTGTATTTGTCTTGACAGTGTGGAAGTGCAATCGCCCGATGAATCGGCAAGACTTTTTCTCCATGGCCCGGGGACAAACCGCTGGTTTGATCGTCATAATATTATTGTGACACGTGATGGATCGGCCGGGATCAATTGGGAACATTCCGTCGGAGATGGTGGCACGACGCTACACGTTGCTGACTTCATGTTCCGTAGGGACTGCGAGCGTTTCTTCTCGGACACAGACGTGGATCACTCATGGAGGAACCTGAAAAAGTACAAGCATCTTTGGGCATGGTGTCTGAGTTGCAATGGTCTCTTGATAATGGGCTTGACGAGCTTATGAAGGCAGCCTTTGCAGACTTCAAGATGTTGATTGAGAGCAATGAGACAAATGTGCTGCACTTTCAGCAGTTTGGTGGTGTTTTTTTAAAACAAAATAACGTGTCACCCGACGCATTTGTTCAAGTGGCACTTCAGCTCACATTTTATCGTCTTTTTGGGCGAAACTGTGCCACTTACGAGGCAGCCAGTACGCGTACTTTTTCTCACGGACGAACGGAATGCGTTCGAAGCGCAACACGCGCAGTATGGGATTTTTGTCACGCGGCATCCGAGCCAATCTTCTCCAAACGTGTGGCATCGTGTGTGCCGAAACAACGAGAACTTTTGCGTATCGCCATTGAGTCTCATGCGGATTACATGAGACTTGCTAAGAAGGGCCTTGGTGTGGACCGGCATCTTTATGGACTTCGAGTCATGGCGCGAATGCATGGCATTCCTTTACCAGAGCTCTTCACTGATAGATGTTTTTATCGTAGTGCAACTTGGCGCATGTCAACATCGCATTGTGGAAGCAGCGCACTTGACACATTTGGTTTTGGACCAGTGGTGGGTTCCGGGTACGGCATTGGGTATATGATAAAAGAAAGTAGCATTGAATTTGTCATCACATCCAACCGTACACATCCCTTTACCTCTACCTCTGTGTTTGCCACCATGCTGCAATCCGCCCTTATGCACATGGATGTCATCCTGAGAAGTGAAAATGTGGAGGGTCGAGCCGTCAGTTGCCCATTTCCATCTTCGCATCCATGTGGTTTTAACGACTTTGAGTATTCGCAACAAGAAGGGTTCATCTACCAACGCTACGATAAACAAGGCATAAAGGAGCTTGCGCACGTCTTGCAAGAGACGAAAGGAAAAATGGAATTTGTGGAAGATTCTCTAAGTAGCTGGCACTAAAGAACTTTAACCTCCATTTTCTGAAGCTGCTGCGAATATTAAATGAGGAAAAAAAAAAAAGAAAAAATGAGGGACAGAAGTGAAATATATGTGTTTTTGTGTGGTGAAATTGTGCTGGGACGGAGATCATTATTATACCTTGAATACACATGAGCAACGGTTATGCTCTATGTGTTACCGCACGTTCTTTATCTTACATCTGACTTATTATAACAGCGTCTTTCTTTTTTTTTTTTTTTTGTTTTTTTTTTTTGTTGTTTTTTTGCATGATCTTATTTTTCTTTGCCTGTGACAAATTCCTGTCCGTGATTTTTTGGTGCGTGCGCACGAATTCCCGCCACAGCTTCCCAGGAAAGGCTGCGTTCATTCAATTGTGACTTCTCTGCTCCCGGGAAGGTTGGGGGGAGAATCGTACCAAATGAGCCGTTTTTTTTTTTTTTGTGTGTGTGTTGTTGGGGGAGGGATTTTTAGAAATGTTGTATGATTCCTATGAAAACGCGCACTGCACGGATCTTCAATGAATATCCTGCTGCATTTTAGAGGAGCCATGATGCTTGCGTTTCTTATGATTTTTTTTTTTTTTTTTTAAAGGTTGTGAGGAGAATGATCGCGGGGGAGCTGGCCAACCCTAATGAATGCATATATGTATATATCCCTGCCAAAACGAACACGCACTTTTTTATGACGCTTTTTCCGTCCTATGAATTTTGGGCAGGCCACGACTTTAAGGCCATCAGGGGGAAATTGACGTGTAGAGGACTTTAGTTATTTTATTTTATTTCATGTTTTTAATTTTTTTCCATCCCGCCCAGCCCTCTTTTGGTTCCCTTCTCGCGGTGGAGTCTTGTGGCCGGGGAAAACCAAAGTCTGCCACTTCGTAAGAAATAAATAAATATATATTTATATCTAAATAATTGATGTTAAATTTCGAGGATGTGGTGAATCCATTCTTATTCCATTTATTCCTTTTTTATTCATGTCTTGTTTGGTTTCTGTTATTGATAAACTCATGATTCGGACAGTGGCCTAGGTGAATATTCGTCACTCTTTTCCGCGTCTTTTGGCCCTGTCTCGCACGACGGGACAACCTTTGAATAAATCCGTTTTTCCACAACTTTTTTTTTTTGTGTGTGTGTTGTGTGTATGTGTGTTTTTCCGTTTCTTTGAAAACCGTCGGTTTAAATGTGTTGTCTTTGCATTTTTTCTTTTCTTGCAGTGAGGTGTGCATGCATCCATATGAGTCTGCATGTGTACTTGCGCCCGTATCATTCCCGCTAAACTTTGTTGTCTTTTTTTTTTTTTTTTTTTGTCTTCTTAGATCATAGCTCAATGAAAAAGGACCCAACAAGGCCTGCAGCGCTCAAATACTAACTGACATTTGCGTCTCTGCCTGTTATTATTGCCATTTTATGATGCCGAATAGTGGTATGCTCCTTTGACGCGACTTCACCCTCATGACGAGTGAATACCATGTATCCCATAAATTGCAATGGCTGAAAGACCTCCTCCTCATTCTCCTCTATTCATCCATTTCTTGCCTCCCTCCGTGGGCGGTGTATTGTTGTATTCCCAGTGAGTCACGACGGGGAAAGACGAAGAATGAGGTTGCACACATCGTACAAGGTGCAGGCATGATTATTTCCCTTTTTTTTTTTCTTTTTCTTTTTTCTTTGTTTCTTGGTATCGGTACCCGCTGGTGCAAGAAACACACAGCAGGGGAGTGCCGCTTTGTTAAAAGGATACGAAGGAGAGATGATGTTTCCTGGCGCGCAGGGGCCAAAGGCCCTCCCGGACGGTGAGTCACACAAGCAGTTTTGGAGCAATTTTCACCGATTTCTAGCAGTCTCCGCCGTCACTATATCGTTCTCGCTATTTGTTCGCCACTGTGAGCGACGTACCAGCACGCTCCTGTTTGCTGGTGTGTAGAGGACGGCAGTTATGGAGAGTAACGGTAAAGCGAGGCAGAGAAGGATCCAAAAGAGGAAAAAAAAAGGGAAAAAAAAGGGCAAATAATAAAACTAAAACATATATATATATATAATATATGGGCCTTTTTTTATTTTTGGATTCTGAACTTTTGGTTAAGTAAGTGTATCACACAAAGGCACAATGGGTTGGGGTTTGCCAACATATATATATATTTTTTCTTTCCTTCTTTGCCTTTCTTCCCTGTTTGCCGTTTTGTGACTCATTTTACGGTGGTTGTGTTCTTGTATCATTTTTGTGATGTGCACTTTTATTATTATTATTCTCTCTATTTTACTTTGTTGGGCTTGGGAGAGGATATATGCATGAATAGATGACGGAAGGGCCTCTCATTGTCGTTGGAAGTGTGACGCTGGATCAGGCAGCGCGTTGCTACTCCCCGCTGAGCGCCCCGCTGTGGGTGAGACTCGAGTACGCCGTTTTAAGGCCCGTTGTGAATCCCGCTTGGGCGGCGACATTTGAGGTGGATATTGCGTATGGACGCATTTCTGTGCCGCTAGTTCAACCGACGGCGTGCTCGGAGTGTATGACCGCTTTAAATGTTCCGTCGTCTTTCCTTCAGCACACGCCGTCGGATAGCATTGCGACATTGCAACCAGGTGAGTTGTATCAGCTTGACGTGCATCTTGAAACGATGGAATTGTCTAAAGTGGAAGAGAAATATGTGTTGCAGGTTGGGATGCTTCGTCTTATTTTGTTATCCGGGAACACGGAATTGGCTGATGTGAACCATGTGGTGCAGGTGAAGAAAAACGATGATGGTGAGCTAATGCGGTTAATCATGAATCCATTGGTTTGATATGGAATGGGCTGGTAAGTCGGATTGAATGCAGGCGACAGCAACTCTTTTCCGTCCCATTTCTTGGACCGTGTAAATTTTGGCTGACATTCACAGAGGTCAGAAATTAATACGACGGGGTCCACTGTGGCTTTTTTTTTTTTTTTTTGGTCGCACATGACACCTGCGGGTTAGATCCTCCCATTCCTTCTCTTTTTCCTTTGCTTGTTCCTTTTGTTCCTTTTTTTTTTTTTTTTTTTTTTTTTGAATTTTCACATTCACCCCTTTTGGATTCTGTTCTGTCTGCTTGGGGAATATCCATATTTCTGGAAAAGCAAGAGAAAGGGAAGGTTTGGGTGTGTTTGTGTGTGTTTGTTTGTTTGTTCCGAATACAGCAAAGGGGTTAATGTTCCTTGGTGGTTTTGTTCCGCGGCGGTTCTCGCAGTTTAACCGTGACCCTTGCTGGATGTTTTTTATTTTCTCCATTGGCTTTTGGTGGGGGGAGTACCCGGCGATGCAGATTAAGTACAACGCCCGCGACCTTGTCTTTGATCCTCATCGCTACGTGTGGAGTCATCACGATGACCACCACTAAACTCGTGCATGCATGGGATGAGCAGCAAGACGGTAAGGAGGACTTGAAGAGGGGAAAGGAGGACCTTTTGGGGACCGTGCATATTTAGAATGATGGGGCCAACACCCACTTACTCACACACACACGCATACGCAAGCCAAACGACACCGATAGGAGAGAATAACGACGACACTGCAACTGACAAAGACCGATAGAAAAAAGGGAAGAAGAATAAAGAGGAAGAGGGAAATTTAGTTTTGGTTCCCCTATAATATATATATATACGCATTTATGTAAGTATAAGGGTTGTGTGTATGTTTGCTGGAGGGGCGGTGCTGTCGAGGAGTAAGGGAGAGACGGCGTAGGTAGCGTATTCGTGGTTAGCAGCAACATGGACTGACCTCCAAAATGAGAAATGGTGGAACTCCGGGGGAAACTTGTCTGCCGTGGCGTTGGCCACCCCCATCTGGTGGCGATGGCGTGTTTTTCACTCCACTGTTCTTTTTTTTTTTTTTGTTGCTTTTTTTTTTTTTTTTTTTTTTTGGCTTCTCGTCTTCCGTGCGAGACGCAGTCAAGGAAAAGGGAAACGTTTGGCAGGGGACAGTATTGGCAGGCAAAGGAAGCAAGGAAACAACCGATCAATAAAGAAAGGAACGGAGTTACAAACAAACAAACAAAAAAAAAAATAGAAACAGGAAGAGAAAATAAGAAAAGAAACGATACTCAAAGAATGCAGCAGGAACATCTTGTGGAGGCAATCGTCACCATCGCACAGGTACTTGACTACCGTGCGCTGGAAGAACTGAAAATCCGTCTTTCTAAAATGCTGGCGAACGATTCGTACGCACCGCATCAAGGAAGAGGTGGCATGGGTCTTGGTGGCGGGCCGTCGTCATTTGGGGGGGGACATCGCGGTGCTCATAATAATCTTCACCAGCAACGCTATCAACAACACCACCAGCAGCATCGCGGTGGCAATAGGGGATACTCCGGTGGCTTTCAGCATGACCGCCGCCACTTCGACGACTATAGAGATGGCCCCGGGTACAGTGGGAATGGCGATGGCGTGCCTCACCTTCAGCACTATCATCGCGGCGGGGGCAGTGGCGGTGGGAGAAGCCGCGGCGGTGGTGGCTCGGATGTTCCACAGCCCACGTCACACCGCAGCAACGAAAACCACCAAGAAAAGCGCAGGTGGACGCAGAATGCGAAGGACACAGCGGGGGCCACCACAGATGGCGAGAGGGAGCAGCAGCGCAAGCCGGGGAATGGCCGCCGCGGTCGGCGCCGCCCAAATCAGAGCATCAACGAAAAGGAATAGAAGAATAAGGAGAAGGGGGCAGCAAGGGACAGCGGGAGTGAAGAAGTGGGGGAGAAGAAAGGAAAACTCGAACTGAATGGAAGGGGAAAAAGAAAAGAATGACAAACAAATCCATAAAAGAAACCGGAGGGCTCGTCACTTGCTACGCGATGAAAAAATGAAAACACAAACATTGCGCATGCCAAAAACAAAAAGTAAAACAACAACAACAAAAAAAAAAAAAAAAAAGAGAGAGAGAAGGAAGAAAATTAAAGGCCCCTCGTCATTCCCTCTTACTCCTGGAAGAAAAACGAAAAACGATATTAAAAAAGTTGAAATACGGCGACGAATCCTGTTTTTGTCTTTTTTCTTGCTGTACTTTTGTGTATATGTGATGACCATTTGTTCCCTATCCTTCCCTGGGGTGATGTGTAATGTTTGGGCACGTGGGTGTGAAGGGATAGGGCGCCGCAACGGCATCCAATTGCCATTATCCATTCTTGAGGGAGCGGTACATCATCCACGGCGGTGTGCCCCTATGGACATGAACTGACGAAAGGGAGGTAAGCGGGGGAGTTGAGAGAGAAACGCCTGGGCAGATTTGAAAACTAACTGAAGAAATCAAACTTTGGCGGAAAAGAAAAAAAAAAAAAGGTGAAAAAAAAAAAAACTGACATGAAATAAATATGCTGGCAGCGCAGAAACGAGGCCATGTTTTAAAAGGGGAGCACACTACCTGAATATGTTTGTGCAGGTTGGTTTCTTTCTGCAACAATGAAGGCATATTAGTTGGGGGGAACGATCAACGAAGAACTCCTTCTTTCAACCGATGCCCACACATCCACACACGCGCGCTTCATTCTTGTCGGATGATGAAAGGCAGCGGCGAAAGTGAATGCAAAATGGGCCGATGGCATTCTGCACGACAGACGTCATTTGTGGGGGAGGCTGAACAAAAAACAGGAGAAGGGTGATTGATTGCTGCAACTCGAACCGCCGATCTGATACATGACATCAGAAAAAAACAATAAAATATTCAATGAAATACGAAGAGGACGAGGAGCACGACATGGATGATGAAGAGAAGAAAGAGGAAGAAAGAAACGCAGAGTAGAAGTTAAATAAGTTTGTTAAGGAAACAACAACAACAACAAAAAAAAACCGCCATTATGTGCGTCTTGAGTGGAATTCTTTTATTGTATGTTTTTTTTTTTTTTTTTTTTTGGCAGCGGGTGTAACGATAAAATCCTTCACAAACCAACACGGATTGACGCTGCTGCAACTGTCTGCATGTGTGTTTATTCATACATGGATCTCGGCACCATGTCTTTGTTGAACTGTTTCCGAAACAAGAAATTTTTTTCTTATACTCCTTTCTGCGATGTACGAGGGGGTGACTGCAAGGGACGAAACAAAACAGAAAACGGCTGGAAATGCCGCCGTTATTTGTTTCCTTAATCAAGGGCTGAGAGATTTCCTCAGATTGCGCCCCGAGAAGTGAATATGCGTCATGCCTTCCCTTTTTTTTTTTCTTTTTTACTTTGCCATTGATTTCAATAAAGCGCTAGCATGCATACCGTGTGACAAATAAGGAAGATACTCACTATTCACATCTCCTGTTGCTTGAATGAAATTAACGCCATTGAGAAGAGACAGAAAAGAGAAAAAAAAAAAAAATGAAGTGATTGTAATTCTTTTTCTGTTTTTAATTATTATTTTTTTTTTCCTCTTTTGCGTGTGTGCTTTCTCTAGCTTATGGCCGTCTCTGCAGGTTTTTTTTCCGCGCTTTTTCAACATGAAACACAAAAAAAAGACACACACAAAGTGCAGCGCACGATTGCCGCGGGGTTTTGTTTTCTCCATCACATTCCCTTGTTGCGAGGCTGGCAATAATGCACTGGGGGGAAACTGCATTTGTTTTTTAATTTGTTTTTCACCGTGTTCTTTCGAGTAAATCTGATGGCCTCGCACACCAGCCGCCATCGTAAAGCACGTCCGCTCTCCTGCGCGGAGAGTTGCCATTATGGCCAAAGGGGACAAGAATGACAGCGAGGAAACGACGCACAGTGCCGTTATAAAAGCGCGTGTGTGTGTGTTTGCTCCGCGGGACATCCAACGATTCAACGCCTCTTTCTGTGCCTCGTTACGACACCTACGCATCTACCACTTTCCAAATCCCGATTTAGCTTGGCGAGCGCATTGCCCATATTCTTTTTAAAAAATGGGGAAATGCGGCAGCCGGATGCCACTATGCGGAAGAAATCTATCGAAGGCATCAACAGTGCAGCACAATTTTTTCTCAGCTGTGCCCGAAAAATATTCATTAAATACTACACGCCGCTGTTAGGTCAAGCAGTTTCACTGCAACTTACTTCTTTTTCCCCTTTGTGCCTTACTTGCCTTCTTTTTTTTCTTCCACAGGAAGCCACAAGCTACACAGCAAGACAGTCTCAAGACAGCAAGCATGGCGGTGGGGGGATGGGTGGCAGCGTGGCCGCGAGAAGGGCATGCTTTTGCAGCGGTGGCCGGCCTTGTCGTTGCCCTGCTGCTCCTGTTTGCTCCGCAAGTCGTCGTACCCAAACCAGTTGTCTGTGAGACCAATGTTAAGGTGTTAACTTTGAATGTGACGGACATCCCAATTGACCGGAACTTTGCGGATTCATTTGGAGCTGGACTAGAGGCGGCACTCTGGTGGCGCAATTTCACTGTTGCTGACGGTGTTCATGTAGAGATTGTCAGGAAGGTCACCACAATGCTAACAAGTGGAGCGGTGATAGAAGAAGCGTTGAAAGCCGATAGTAATATTCTTCTTGTGGCAGGCGTCATCGGTGATATGACCGCTGCGATCTCTCTGCCCGTAATTGTGCGACATGGCCTTGTCTCGTTTGCCCCGTTCACTGGATCGAGTTTGGTGCGTGGGTGGAACCCCAACATGTACTTTGTGCGTGCCGAACCTGCGGTTGAGCTCCTGGCACTCCTCCGCTACGCCTTGGCCCACCTGCGGGTGCATCGGCTGGGCTTCATGTACCTGAAGGGAGTTTTCTTTGGTGAAAGGGAGTATGCGCAGGCACAACGCGTGATGTCGGCGATGGGCTACAATCTGAGCGGTGTCTTCGGTTTGAAAAGCTCTATGAGTCATGGTGCGAAGGAGGAGGTGTTCGACGCTGCGTGGGAAGCGTTTGCGAATACTCGGCCGCAGGCTGTGATTGTGTTTGGCTCACCGATAGAGGACACCACAAAATTTGTCGAAAGGATGCTAACAGACAAGCGCACCGCTGGAACGTACCTGCTTGCTCCCTCGGCGCTGCAGGATCTTGTTTTGGGTGTGTGGCGTGCTGCTGTGACTAGTGGTGTTGTGTTTGAGCCTGGGCAGGTGCTGACGACGGGAACAAACCCGCTGGCGAAGGTCACAAAATACAAGGCCATCCAGCGCTTCCAGGAGGTGATGCGGGCATACCTGGCGCATAGGAACGATACGCAATCAGGTGTG